GTCCCGCACATGTCAGTCTTGACTTGGCTTCTTGCAGAACTAGTCTGTGCAGTCGCATATCAGAACAGTGCGGTCCGCACAGGCGACCTTCTTCCCACTTGAGTTATCTTTTGGCGCTGGGCAGGTTTCACTCCTCTTTTGAGCCGATTTGTGATATATATCATCTCGTCGCTCAAACCTACAATCAAACGCACTTTGTAAGCAATTTAAGACTAATTTGAAGCAGTTTATGCACAAAGCTCAGGTAAGAAGGGGTATAAAACATGTATAATTCATAGATATCAACTCCCCCAAACTTAAACCTTTGCTTGTCCTCAAGCAAAATAAAAAATGAGACCTATCCCTCAATGAAAAACACCCTAGTAATTCCTGTTCTTCCTAAGGTTACCTCAACGAGCCTCAGTTGGGACTAATAATTGCCCTCAATGCATATGTGTCATTAACACATTTAAAACTTGGAACACTTGTGGATCAAGTGCGACACAAGAGCATCAAGGGTTGACACATCTCATCAAGGAACCTTTCTCAAGTACTTCGGTCATTGTGGAACCTAAACTCACGTATCCTCGACTTTCCCTAAGTGGATCTCACCTTTTTGAGTAATTGCACACAAATCGAGGTGAATGAACTCTCTCTCATCTCTCACAAAGAAATGGCCCTAAGCCTGGCTTTAAGCACCATATTCTTGCCCTTCATGTAAGTATCCACTTATGTAGGCTTCTCTTAACTCAAGATCACATAGGGCTTTTGCGGAGTCATTGTGAAGGCTTTCGGGTAAAGGTAGGATATGATGTTGTTCTGATGGTTTCAATATTCCCTTAGGCACTTCATTTGATTCATTTTGGCACACTTTCTTGACTCAATTGGGTAATTCACTTCTTTCGGGGGTTAGAGGGATACAATATCGCTCTTTCTTTTTCAATTCAACACCTTTCTCCTTTTGTATACCTTTCCACACCTTTTCACTTTTTGTTGTCCTTTTGATTCCCTTTTTGATTGTTATTCTCTTTTTGTCTTTCTTTTTGTCCTTTTCTCTTTTTCACTGCCTTCCTTTTATTTTGCTTTTGTGCCTTTCCACCACATTGATACCTTTCTTGTTTCCCTCCCCCAAACTTAGTCATTTGCCACTACTCAAGGGAAGATTTGGATGCCAAGAGAAGGTCTAATTGAGAACGGGTATAGGCTTGTAATTTGGTTCATGAAAGAATAAGGTTCAAGGCTCAAAAGGGGTGAACTAGGGATCATTTGACTGGTAGGCTATGGAGTTGTTCAATTCTGCACTTTTGGATCAAGGAGAGCCTAAGATCATCTCAAGTCAAGTTCCACCTATTATTTCGCCTCAACAAACATTTGGGGCAAGTTCTAGGCCATCGGCATGGTACTTGGACTCAACACATTTAATTCTCACCACACGCACTCAAGGATTGCCAAAAATGGAGTCGAGGGCCCACAACGACCTTAGATACAATTCAAGCGCACAATGGCCCAACATGACCATATGATGATTGTTTGGTCAACACAATAGTCTCAAGGTCACGACTTTCACCATCCTAAACACAACTTAATGTCTTTGACCATATGATCAAAGGCAAATGTGCTAGGCCCAATTGAAGCTTTGCCCGAGGTACCCTTAACTACAAAAAACTTGAAAATCAAAAAACTGACTCAACCCTTAAGAAAGTTGTCACGCTATCTATCATTGGGAAGAGCCACCCGGTTCGCACAACATTCTACCCTTGGAAAGAACCGTGGCATTAAGAAAACCAAGGGCTTATTGCCAACGCCAAAACAAAACCAAAAAGAGGCTACGAGCCTAACTTTGCAACTAAAATGAAAATTTTTAACGAAAATAACGAAAATAGAAAGAAAGCTTAAATGAAACCCAAATGAATATGTACACAGGGGAAGTAGAATATACAACTAAGGGAGTTCAGAATCAAAAGTTATATACAAATCAACTATAACTACGAATGTACTAAAAGTAGTGAATATATACAATCATCCAAATAAAAGTAAAAAAAAAAAGTAGGTCCACACCCCCACGAATAAGAGCTAGCATTGTCCCCAATGCTAACTACAAATTAAATTATCAAAATAAAAGCAAAGGATATAGAAGCGACCCCTCAAGCCTCATCAGCTGCTCTCTGCTGGTCAATGGCTCCCGAGTCCTCTGTACTGGCCGGGACCTTAGACCGGTCCTCAGCCTGCTGCTGCTGTGTTACTGGGACATCCGGTGCCTGCTCAACTACTGCTGGGGCTGGAGAAGGCTCAATATCTGCAGTGCTGGATGGGCCCTCCTGAACTGGAGCCACTGCTATCACTACTCCCTCAGTGTTGGGGAGTTTTCTCTTCTTCCTCGGCCTATCCTCCTCTACCTGTGGCTGCACATCCGATGGCTCCACGAACGACTCAGCAAACAATAAGTCAAGTGGTAGCTGATCCGCTACCAACTTGTCTACCTGTACCTGCAACTTTGCCACCGACTCCTTGGAGGCCTTCGTCTTTCTCAACTTCCTGTGCTCCTTAGCCAAATCTTTGAGAGCTTTGTTATGCTCCCCAACTGCCTTTGACAAATTTGCCTGCTCCGCTATCATCTTTTCCTGGTTGGCCAGGATCTTCTTCAAAATCTCATACAATGGAGGCAGGCACCTCAACAGTCATCGGAGCTCTCTCTGCCTGAACGACAATGGTCAGTGTGGACAACTTGGATGTCGCAGTAGTGGGATGCTCAATGGAAGCTGGCTCTTTAGACTGGCCAGCTGCGGTGGAAGAAGAAGCCTGACTCTTCTTGGAGCTCTTAGGGTTGTCCGGACCCTTTTGATCATACCAATAATACGGGCTCACCGGAGGCACCATGATATCATACTTCTTCTTTTTCACTTTCATCTCCCGGAAGTATAGGGTCAATGTGTTAGGGAAGGGGTAGTTAGTCTTTGTCTCGTCCCCCACACGGGAGATCACCTGAGACATGATGTTGCCGACATTTAATGGAAAACCCGCCATGATGGAAGCAACAAGAACAGCACGATCAACGGGAACAGAGTGATCATGTGTGGTCGGGTCAAGCCGATTGCACATGAAGGTCAACCACCCTTTTGCTTCAAAATTTAGGGTGTTTCTGTATATTTTCTCCTGTGCCTTCAACCACATAGGAACTGTACCTGGAGCAGCTAGAATCCTGGCTAACCACGGGCGAACTTCTTCTTTTATCGCAAGCTTCTCCAAGTACTGAGACTCGTCTTATTCCCCAAACCCCAGAAAATCATTCAAGGATTGCCCGTCAAAAACTACCGTCTTTTCCCTCACCTTTGTCGCTTTTGTATCCTGAACCACATGGTGAACATTGCTATAGAATTCTTTCACCATGTGTTCGTTTGCATTGTCAACCTTTTCTTTAAAGAACCCCCAACCCTCTCTCGTACGGAATTGAGCTTGTACGTGAGGGTTGTGAGGGAGAAAGTCGGCATCAATGAATCGCCGCTCCGATCACTTTTTGGCGCCGTTGCCGGGGAGCTTTACAGTGTTTGACTATTTGTTTGCTAGTTTTGTGTTTTTGCTTCTCTTTTCTTCTTTTTACTTATTTTGTTTGTTCATTTCACTCAGGTACCAATGGCTTTAAATGCAAATGATCCTCTTAATGTGGGAGTGGAGGAGGTGGAAGATGTGGAACAAGATGAGATGTTACCGCAAGCACAAAGGAGGGGTAGGAATGCTAATGCTAATGACAACATACCAGACCCTCTTCCACCTCCACCAAGAGTTGCTTTACGAGTTCTACCCAATCAAGGGTACGAAAGTGCAATAGTTCCTCCCCGAATCCGGGCGGGGAACTTCCAAATCACCAATGTCATGCTCACTTTGCTCGAACAACAAGGGTATTTCATAGGCGCTTCGGACCAAAACGCCTACAAGCATTTGAAAGGGTTTGTGGATACTTGTTGGGGGAGCAAGCAGACGAATGTTTCGGAAGATGCACTGAGGCTAAGGCTTTTCCCCTTCTCACTTCGGGGGAAAGCATTGGATTGGTTGGAAAGATTGCCAAATCATTCCATCACTACTTGGGATGAATTGGCAGATAAATTCATTGCGAAGTTCTTCTCGCCTAGTCATATGGCGGCTCTTAGAGATGATATCCTAGCTTTCAAGCAAGAGCCGACGGAGCCTTTACATGAGATATGGGAGAGATTTTGGACAATGGTGAAAGAATGTCCCAACAACGATATGAATGATGTGATGATCCAACAGACGTTCTATCGAGGTATAAACACAACAAAACAATGCATTGTTAATCAGTTGGCCGGTGGTAATTTATGAAGCTTCCATACAACGAAGCTTGTGATGTTCTTGATGAAATGGCCGATACTTCTTCGGCATGGCAAAGCCGGGCTAATGTTCCTCAAGGTGATCCCAATGTTATACACTTGCATAAGGAGTTGCATGATCACGGTCAAGCCATCGCCGAACTCACAACAATAATGAACAAGTTGGCTAAGGCGCAACTTCAACAAGTTCAAAATCCGCGCCAAGTCAATGCTATGGAGGGAGTGAGTATGATGAAAAGAAGGCAAAGAGGGCAACAACAACCTCCTGAAAATTTTGACAACTTTGATGATGGGCATGGTGGTTATTCGAATGAATGTTATGATGACCAAAGTGAAGAGGTCCAATATGTGAATAACTACCAAGGTAATAGAGGAAATCAAGGAAATCAACAATGGAGTTCCCAAGGCAATTGGGGGAACCAACTAAATAGTGGAAATTGGAACAATAATTGGGGTAATCAAGGCAATCAAGGTAACAATTGAGGTAATCAAGGCAATCAAGGCAATTGGGGCGGAAACAACAATAATTGGAACAACAACAACAATGGTGGGTGGAACAATAATCAAGGAGGTAATCAAGGGAATCGGGAGCAAGGTTTTCAAAGGCACCCGATGTACCAACAACCGAACAACCCACCCCCGTTCCAATCTCAAGGGTCGAGTTCTTCGGGTCAAGATATGGGTAGAATTGAGAACATGTTCGAACAAATGATGAACAAGAATCACGACTCGGATGCCCAATTAGCCTCCCACAACACTTCGATCCGGAACTTAGAGGTGCAACTTGGACAAATATCACTATCTCTCAAAACTCGCCCAAAGGGTGCACTACCAAGTGATACGGTGGTGAACCCCAAGGGTGGGCACAATAACCATGTCATGGCAGTGAAAACGCGTAGCGGGAGAGGGGGTGATGTGCAAGAAGCTCAAGTTAGGGTTGATGATGATGAGTTGCGGGAAGATGATGTCCCATTAGTGGTTGAAGATATTGTTGAACCAAGTGTGAGGAATGAAGTGAGAATAGATATTGATGAGGGTGAGGAGGAGACCCAAGAGGCCGTGAACCCGTCTAGGGAACACGTCATTGACATGCCGGAACCTACGGTGCCAAAAGCCAAGGCACCTTTACCTAGGCCTCCTACGCCATATCCTCAAAGACTGGCCAAGCAAAAGGGTGACAATCAGTTTAAAAAGTTTATTGAGATGATGAAGAGTTTGACCATCAATGTGCCTTTGGTGGAGGCACTTGAACAAATTCCCGGATATGCAAAGTTCATGAAGGACTTGGTTACTAAGAAGAGATTTATGGAGTGCGAGACTATCAAGATGACGCATCAAGTGAGTTCCATTGTGCACTCCATGGCTCCAAAGCTAGAGGATCCCGGTGCATTCACAATACCATGCACCATTGGAAGCGCAGATTTTACAAAGGCCCTATGTGACTTGGGGGCAAGTATCAATCTCATGCCTTATTCGGTGTTCAAAACTTTGGGAATCGGGCAACCTCGCCCGACCTCCATGAAGCTTCAAATGACGGACCGATCTATGAAGCGGCCCTTGGGAATTATTGATGATGTCCTCGTTCGTGTTGACAAGTTTATATTGCCGGCGGACTTCATGATCTTGGATTACGAGGTGGATTTCGAGGTGCCTATCATTCTTGGAAGGCCTTTACTAGCTACGGGTAAGGCATTGGTTGATGTAGAGGCGGGAGAATCGACTTTCCGCGTTGGTGATGAAAAGTGGTTTTCCATGTATGCAAGTCTATGCGCCAACCAAATAGCACCGAAGTGTGTTAGTTTGTCGACATTGTCACGGCGGTGATAATGGATGACACAAGCGCAATGGCAAATGTTGAGGACCCACTCGAGGCCGTGATCTTGAACATGGAGGTTGATGATATTCCGGAAAGGGTGGAGTGTGTGAATGCACTTAATGGCATGGGCTTATATTCCTATGAGCAAAGGAACCTATCTTTTGATCTTGAAAATCGCAAAACTCCACCCACCAAACCATCCATTGAGGAGCCACCGGTGTTGGAGTTGAAACCACTTCCTCCTCACCTCAGGTATGAGTTTCTTGGTCCTAATTTCACTTTGCCGGTTATTCTTTCTTCTTGTTTGACTAACGTGCAGGTGGATGCCACTTTGGTGGTTCTTCAAAAGCACAAGCGGGCAATTGGATGGACTTTGGCGGATATTCGGGGTATTAGCCCCGCGTTTTGCATGCACAAGATAATATTGGAGGAGGATGCGAGACCGTCTCTTGAACATCAAAGGAGACTCAATGAATCCATGCAAGAGGTGGTTAAGAAGGAAATCATCAAGTGGCTTGACGCCGGTGTGGTATATCCAATTTCTGATAGTTCGTGGACCTCTCCAGTTCAGTATGTGCCAAAGAAGGGAGGAATGACGGTAGTGACCAATGATAATAATGAGCTGATTCCGACTCGTACTGTGATGGGTTGGAGGGTATGCATGGACTACCGAAAACTGAACAAGGTTACAAGAAAAGACCATTTTCCCTTGCCATTCTTGGATCAGATGCTTGACCGTCTGGCGGGCCGGGCATTCTATTGTTTTCTAGATGTATATTCCGGCTATAACCAGATTCTCATTGCCCTAGAGGATCAAAAAAAGACAACATTCACATGTCCGTATGGCACATTCGCATTCTTGCGTATGCCATTTGTACTATGTAATGCTCCAGCGACCTTTCAAAGATGTATGATGGCAATCTTCACCCATATGGTGGAGGACATATTGGAGGTCTTCATGGATGACTTTAGTGTGGTCGGAGATTCATTTGGTGAATGTTTGCAAAATCTTGATCGTGTGTTGGCCCGTTATGAAGACACAAATTTGGTGCTCAATTGGGAGAAATGCCACTTTATGGTGGAAGAAGGAATTGTGTTGGGTCATAAAATTTTGAAAAGGGGGATCGAGGTCGACAAAGCAAAAATCGAGGTGATCTCAAGGCTTCCTCCCCCTAACTCTGTCAAAGGGGTGAGGAGTTTTCTTGGACACGCGGCTTTCTATCGGAGATTCATTAAGGACTTTTCTAAGGTAGTGAACCCGTTGTGTAAGTTGTTCGAAAAGGATGCAAAATATGTGTTTGATGACAAGTGTATGGAGGCCTTCGAGCTTCTAAAACAAAAGTTGACGACTACCCCCATCATAACCGCACCCAATTGGAGCTTACCCTTTGAGCTCATGTTTGACGCTAGTGATGTTGCGGTGGGGGCGGTTTTGGGCCAGAAAATCAACAAATTATTCCATCCGGTGTATTATGATAGCAAGACGATGAATGAGGCGCAAAGAAATTACACAGTCACCGAGAAGGAATTGCTTGCCATCGTATTTGCCATATAGAAGTTTTGCCCGTACCTTATGGGGGCCAAAGTGAATCCATACCGATCACGCCGCCCTTAGGTACTTGATGACTAAGAAGGATTCAAAAGCAAGATTGATGAGATGGGTGCTTCTTCTACAAGAATTTGATTTGGAGATCGTTGATAGAAAAGGGAGTGAGAACCAAGTGGCGGACCACTTGTCTAGATTGGAGGAGGAAGGGAGGCCTTCGGATGGCCTTGAGATAAATGATTCTTTTCCGGACGAACAACTCCTCTCAGTTTCTATGCTTGACATGCCGTGGTTCGCCGACATTGCTAATTATTTGGTTACTGGTGTGGTCCTGTATGAGCTCTCTTCTAACCAAAGGAAGAAGCTTAGGCGGGATGCTTTGGACTTCTATTGGGATGAGCCATACCTTTTCAAAATTTGCACCGATGGTGTGATTCGCCGGTGTGTTCCCAAAGAAGAGCAATTGAGTATTGTGGAAGCTTGTTACTCTTCGCCCTATGGTGGTCATCATGGCGGGACGAGGACGGAGTCTAAAGTGTTGAGTTGTGGGTTCTATTGTCCTTCATTTTTCAAGGATGCCGATGATTATGTGAAAAGATGTGACGAGTGTCAACGTGCTAGAGGGATTTCAAAGAAAGATGAGATGCCCCTTAACACGATTCTTGAGGTCGACATTTTTGATATTTGGGGGATCGACTTTATGGGACCATTCGTGAGTTCTTGTGGCAATACTTACATTTTGGTAGCTGTGGATTACGTGTCAAAATGGGTTGAGGCCATCGCCTTACCCAACAATGAAGCTCGCAGTGTGGTGGCTTTCTTTAAGAAGAGCATTTTCACTAGGTTTGGCACACCCCGTGCCATAATTAGTGACGGTGGCTCTCATTTTTGCAACAAGGATTTCAATTCTTTGCTTACCAAGTATGGGGTAAACAACAAAGTGACCACTCCCTATCATCCTCAAGCAAGTGGCCAAGTTGAAGTCTCAAACCGGGAAATCAAGAGTATTCTTGTCACGACCCAAACCAAAGGGCCGCGACGGGAACTCGGTGCCTTACTCAACCGAGTACCAACGTAACATATCTTTCTTATCATGTTATCATGAGTAAATGAGCTAGAAAACCCGTCATGAGATAACAAGAATAAAACATAAGGGAATACTCAACATATGAAGACCCAACATGATATACAATTTAATATATGTGACATACGGGCCTATAAGGCTGACATGACCATTAGTAAACTCGAAACATAGGCCGACAAGGCCATAAAATTATCCATACNATGAGATAACAAGAATAAAACATAAGGGAATACTCAACATATGAAGACCCAACATGATATACAATTTAATATATGTGACATACGGGCCTATAAGGCTGACATGACCATTAGTAAACTCGAAACATAGGC